CACATATCAGATTTTTCATGGAGTAGTGTCTCTTACCACATTTCCTCATGTCACTCTCTTTCTTTCCATTTCCATGCAAGAGTTATGCTGCATTTTTGCTGTTGCAATTTGCCTATGCTGTTTTTTCTGCAGCACATTGTGCCTTGCACCCATTTTGTTGGCTTGTGCTTGGACAGCTCTTGTGGTCAATGCTACCACCTTTGACAGCATTTTGAAAATTCTGATATGTAGAAGCATTGTCACATGTTATTCCCTTTGTCTTGTGACATGTGATCTTGTGACATGAAGAAGTTTGTCACCTCTTGCATGGGACTATTTTGCCATGATTAAACATGCATAATCTTGGTCTTAAAACATTCCAATCTTGATTTAATTCTTGCATATTTCTTGGATGTTTGTAAGCATAATGTGGACTTGATGGAGCATGGGGGATACCATGACATGAAGTTATTTTTAGAAACTTGAATTAAGACTAGAAATAACTTAATTTCCTAAGTATTACCAAGAGTTTGGATTTTGTAACAAGTGTGACATTCTTGCAAATGTCATGAAATTTTCTTTGTAATATTCTTGAATCTAGCCTTGAATTCATGAATCTTGAATTTGGAATGATGGGATTCCCTTATGTCATTGAATTTAAAGAAATGAGTCAATTCTTGAAAGAGGGCAAATTTTGGGGTACAACAGATACCTCACAGGAACAATGACGAAGATGATGTTCTCAAAATGTGGCAATCACTTGGACTACCAGACCTACGTCAGGTGCCCAAATAATAGAAAAGGGAGTAGTTCATTCGTCTAGTCCCTTATTTTGTACTCAATATGTGAAGTTTTAACAAAGGTAACTTTCTCGTGCGAAAGGCAGTGCGAACTTGCAAAAGGTAAGTGCAAAGGGAAAATCAACACAGACGAGTTTTGGGAACCAATACGGGCGAGTATTGTAGAGTTTAATATCAAAACAGAAGAGTGTTAGGGATCAATATGGATGCGTATTTAAAAAGATGTATGATTAACACAAACGAGTGTTTGAAACCAAATAGGGTCTTTCGTACAAGGTACCAAGTCTGGCTTATGCTTTGTATGCATGTTTGAATTTGTATGGCGTAATGTTTCATCTTGGTGGATATGCTACGCATTTGAGTATGTAATTCTATGTAATGCAAAATGGCATTTGTTGGGATTTGTGATATGACAAACAGGTTTATTTTTATGATAGAACAAGCGATGTTGGGTTCTAAGAGATGCCAAGCAAGTTGGGCTTTGAGAGATGCCAAGAAAGTTAGGCTTTAGGGAGGTTCCAAGTATGGTTGAGCTTTAGGGATACCAATAAAGATTGGGCTTTGGATTTCTTGTTTCTTTTGCATGGCTTCAAGCTATGTTAGATGAATGATATGCATGAGTGAAGCGACGTGATTAATGCACGGTGATGATTTATACAATGGGTGGAAGATTTAAAGCTAGGATGGGGGTTATAAAGATGTGATTCTCCGACAATAGGGAGAGAACTTGTACCTTCGTTGCCTATCTCTGCCGCAATCTATTGGGTTTCTATATGGATTGACCCAACCACAAGTTATGAAGCAACCTTGTTATAGGACGAGCTTGATCTGAATTGCCCTAGTATCTAAGAATTGTATGCCCCTGATCTGCCATCTCTTAGAGAGATTCGTCGAATCTCGACATGATTTCCCCAGATTGACTGAATCTTGAAGCACCTTGCCCTTTTTGCTCAACGGAGTTTTCAAACTTTTTGCCCCTTTGTATGATCAAACTTCTTATTATGGAAACTTTCTTGATGTCAAGTGCTTATTCGAAAGTAATAATATTCATTTTGAAGATGATATTTTATAAAGCGAAGCTTATGTCAGTTTTGAAATCCAAGTGTGTTCACTAAGATGATTCAATAGCAAAAACTTCTACATACACTATCAAAATTTTGTTATTGATCACAAAGTGTTAAGTGATCATTGTTTGGCATAGAAAATGATGTGGTTTATATTCAAGTGTAAAAGAAAGTGGTGTGTTTTCTTGTTTATATTAGAAAAGTGTATGAGTGACTTTGATGTGAGATTTGTACAAATTCTAATATAGTGAAAATATCTCACAGAGTGTGAGGAGACTGGAGTACTCTTGTTTGAAAAGATGAACCATGATATATTGTTGTATTCTTTACTTTTAGCACTTTAATTTTTTGTTATTCATCATTCAAAACAACCATTATATCTTATTATAATTCAGAAAATTAAAAAGAAAAGAAACTTACTTAAATATCAATAAAATCCAACAAGTCTAATTCACCCCTCACTTAGATTGCGCATTCTAATACTTATAGAAGTTGCTAGTTGCTAGGAAGTCTACACAAATTGTTTTGTAATGATATTGTATCATTTTTGCTTATACGTATATGTTTTATCTGGTATACTTTATTAAAAATGTCAAAAGAAAATGTTTTTTCAATAATTTCACAACTGCCTATCGAATTTTTCAAAATATCCGAAAATTTTGAAATATACTAAATTTTTCAAAAAAGTCCTGCAAGTTTTATAATTATCGGATTTTCCAACATATCTTATATAACTCAACTAGACTTCTAAAAATTTCTTTTATTCAAACCTGACTTTTTCAAATATTCGATATTTCTTCAATAATTTTTTATAATCCCGTGAATTTTTACCGACATTTCACAAAATGTCCAACATTTCTTCATACATTTGCAAAATATCCGATAAATTTGCAAAATTGCCGAATGTTATGATTTTTGAAATAATCTGATACGATCAAAAATTCAATATTTACCTAAACTTTTAAAAATTTCGAAACAAAAAAATTAATAAAGGCATAAGAGTAATCACAGTCTTCATATGGAATGTCATTGTAATTGGGGAGTGTAAAGATAAAATTTCTCATACTTCCACAATGTGATAGCTATTGGCTTTAAAATATGGCCGATGATAACTTGTTTCTGTTTTTTTCTTTAATAAATAAAAACAGACTTTTAGTGTGGAGGAAAATATTTGAAAATTTTCTCTCATACTCCTACCTTTATTCTTATATCCCTACATTTTGTAAAAAATATCAATTTTATTTTTATATATTTTTAATTAATTTATTATTTTATTTTTTAAATTTTATTTTACTTACGAAAGAATTTGCAAAAAGTTTTGATAGTTATTTTTTAAATATTTTTTAATTTTATTGTGTATCGCAAAATTTTAAAAAAAATTTCGATAGTCAATTTTTATGTACCAAAATACTTTGAAAAAAAACTTTTGATAGTCGATTTTTATGTATTGGAAAACTTTATAAAAAGGACTTCTATATTCATTTTTTAAACATTTAAAAAATTGTGTCGAAAGACTAAACATTTATAATAGTCAATCTTTGTATACCAAAAGACTTTGCAAAAGTGTTTCAATAATCATTTTTAAACTTGTATACCGAAAGATTTTAGAGGAATAAATAATAGAGAATGGAGTAGGATAGATTAAAAAAAAAAGAGAAGATAACATCAATAAAATAGAGAAAAACTCACACCGGCTTTTCCAATACAAAAGTAGCTAATTTCAACCTCTTTTTTATTCTATTTAATACAATTTTATTTGATTACTTTATTTTTTATTTTTTATTTAAATCCTTTAAGTAACATTAATACTTTTTTCCCAAAATTATATCATTTAATACATTTATTTTAAGATTGAAAAGGAGGTAGTAATATTATTTTTGGTCAAATAGTAATAATATATTTATAAATGACCTTACAATAATAGTTTTTCCTTTAACAAATTAAAAAATACAATAAATTAAAAATATTTTACTAATTAACAAAATTAATTTTATTATTTATAGATTTGTTTTTCAGCATCATAAACCAGAAACTAATTTTATTATTTATTGATTTGTTTTTCAGCATCATAAACTAGAAAAGAAATCTTACATTACAAAGTGAAAATGCAATTTATTTTGAAACAATTCTTTTTGAAATGGTGAAACGAAAGGAGTGTAGATGAGTACATTTACCCCTAGTTAGATTTCGTATGATGAATAAATTTCAGGGTGAGTGTTGGTAGATAGATATCTGTTGTGGAAAAGAGAGGTTGAAGGAACCAAAAAGCTGTCAACACCGAATCTCTCACGTGGCTCATCAGTCGAGAACTTTGAATGGAAAAGCAGATTCATTCCCCTCATCCCGAGGCAATATTTACCATTCACTCACACTTTTGCTTTTTTAAAATGCAACTACCACACCATTCTAGTCATTCTAATTAATCCGCCTCAAAATCTCATTGCTCTTTTCCACATCTCATATGACAGACTACAATCTAAAACCTGAAAAGGTGTTTTTTCCTCATGGAATGGAACCAGGATCCCTTAAAAAAAGCTTACTACACAATCACTTGTTGGCAGAGAGAAATCACCCTAGAGCCCTTTACAGATTTTTCAGTCAGGCTTTGGTTTTGGATAAGCCAATCTGTGTAAACGAATTTTATCATCTTCATGCCTACATTTCCACTATCTTTCCAGCATTACAATTTTATGTTACAGAGGAAGATTTTAAACCTAATCTGTAGAACTTGATTATAAGCCCGATGGATTTTTTCAAAAGATTCTAGGAATTCTCAAGGATGGTGTTAAGTGTTAACTAAGGTGCTGTATATTAGACAAAAAAACTAAGGAAATAACATGAATATAAATATGTATAAACTTGTCTGCAAACATTACGGTATGAGGAATAAATAATACAACAATTGTATCTAATGCTCATACAACAACATACTTTTGGCCTCTATTGATAAGTAAATGGGGACTCGGCCAAACTGTAAAATGAATGGCACGAGAGCTCAAACCCTCGATGCAATCCCATTGTACCTATAGTTCAACAAAATATCAATGCTTCAACAACATAAACCAAAGCAACAGAAAATTCATTTGGAGATTTCTAAACTGAGTGTGTACCTGGCATTAAATATCTGCCACATCAAATTCACAAAGATTTGTTGGCTCTATACACTGCTAGGTTGCTCCAGCAGTAGGGAGGAATCATCCTCCATTGTCCAGACAAAACCAGGCATGTCTAACCTTGGCCCAGCAGTACTCCTGTATATATAAAGCTTCTCAACAGGACAACTATCTGGCCTTGAATCTGGAGGTCCTCTTTCATCGATGACTTCAACATTAAGTCTGGGCATTTTCTGACCCAGCAGCTTACATGCTCCATAACTCACTGGGCACGAGGACATCCAAAGGGATCGCATTGTCTCGAGTTTGGCCGCATTGGCCAAGAGAGCCTTGTCGCCAAAGGGGCAGTCCCTAATCTCTAGCTTCCTAAGATTATCACACCCGGACAGTAAATAATGGAGACCCAAATCGCTCTCTCCAGCAAAGGCAACAGATAGCATCTCCAGCTTCTTTGCATGAGTTCCAATATACTCAAAAACACGATCAGTTAGAAGGCCAGAAAGGGAAAGGCGCCGAAGATCCTTACAATGCTCTACAATAGCTCCAAAACCAGAATCCAGTGGTTGAAGGGTAAGATAGTCAGGAGTTCGAGGCTCCAGAATACACAGGCGAAAGCGAGTCAAATTAGGCCTATTCTGCGCAATAGTATTTAGAGCAGCATTAGACATTTGACGACAAAAATATAGAATGGACTGGAGCTTTGGACAGCCTTTAGATACAGAGACAAGACCCTGTTCTGTCAACGCAATATTTGGTTCTAAACCAAATGGATCAGAAGGAAACACCCTCAACTCCTGTAGATCCTTGCATGAAGCAGCAACAACATCAAGACCAGCATCTTCTATGTAATCAAGCACCTGTATCAACGTACTTTAATCAGCACAAGAATATACAACATGATTTAAGGGTATTGAACCTGAGATGCACACAAAACATGGAACAGGCAATACATTGAAAAATATCATATAAATCCAGCATACCCATAACCGCAACAAATTGGAGCATTGACCAACAAGCTTGATAAGATCGGAGCTTTGAATGACAGCATAACTCAGGTTTAGTGATGTTAGCCTAGAGCAGACCGGATTTAGTGCCGGAAGGTAGGATGGCAGAACTTGCCAAAAACCAGACAAGCTCTTCAATTGCTTGCACCCAGAAAATGCTGTTACTAGGTTTGAGAAGACCTCTGGACGCATCTCAGCTGAGTAGATTCCTGTGCCTAACTCAGCCAGCTGAGGACATCGGCTGAGTAAGTTCGGCAGTTTATCAAGGGGCGCAGCATGATTGAGACGAAGAGTCTGGAGGTTAGGACACCTACCAAGCAGGCGCTCTAGTGCGGGCAAACTCACCTCATTGTTCAAGCAAGAGATGTTAAGTGAAACTAATGATGTGTAAGAATCAGGGAATTGGCTTAGCCAATGCCCACTAAGGTCCTCCAGTTCACTCTCCTGCAAGTTCAATTCCTTCAAATTCCTACAATTCATGGGAAGACAAAGTCTTTATCAATGACACCTCAGAAACCAGTATCTCCTATGGTTTTTAAGAAGCAAACAATGTAGTACACTGAATCACGCTGAACCAAATTTAACATCATTAGCAACTGTCAATGGCTCAGTATTTAGTATGGATATTATCCCCATTAACACTACAAACCAAGTATAAAGCAAAGGTTTTAAAAAGCATACTTCTAATTTAAATTCACGGAAACATGAAATATTGGTAATATTTACAAACTGTCAAAGAGTATTATTAAGTGAATAGCATTTTCTGCTAACCGTAAAAAAAAAAAAATTAAAAAGTGAAAGACATCAAAATAGAAATGGAATAAATCAGCATTTCTAACCTAAAATTTGAAGAGTCGACCATTTGTTCATAAAATTAACTAAATAAAAAACTAGTCACTTTATATTTTTAAAAAAAATTATTTATTCCTTCCATCAAAATAATTCACTATGCACATTGACTTGAATAAACTCTTGCTACATCATTCAAAACAAACATAGAACCCTTAAAATTGTGGTCATAAATTTGACAAAATTACTAAATTGATTGATTTTGTTCAACTTAAGGGAATAAATTCTAATTTCACAAATTCCAATTAACAACCAAATAATATCGTTAGTTTTAAATATCAAAAAGTAATAGTATAACTCATTATCACAAAAAAAAAAAAAAAAATCAGCTTTCTTAAAATGAGGTGTTACTTTTAAGAAACTTTCAGTCTTATCTCTTTGGTTTTCCCAATAATCATTTGAACCAAACAAACATAACCCCAATACAAAAATAAAATAAAATAAAATAAATAAAGCTATCGTATTTGATCCGTGGCGAGGAAAGTGAATAATGTGGTCATGACTCGTGAATGCTTAATGGAAAGGAAAAGGGATCTAACATGAAAAACGAATAAAATATAAATAGTAAAAGTATTGCATTTCAATATCATCATATAAGAATCCATAAAACAAAACATCCAAAAAAATACAAATATGTGGGGAAAAAATCATTTTTTTTCTGTATAGTATTCAAAAAGAAATATACATGAATCAAATCTGACCAATGACGACAAAAAGTTCACTTAAAAGTTAAAAACTCACATGGCTAAAGACCAAGAGTACCTTCATCATAATTGCAAATAGAACAATAAAGCAAAAGCAAAGATCCAAACTTGAGATTGTTCAATCAAATCACAATTAATTCACTCCAGCTCAATTCAACGCAACATAGAATAACCAAATGAGAAGAATTTGAAACGTAAAAAAAAACCTGCAATTAGAAGCAATGGCGGCAAGTCCATCCGTAGTGAAACCCTCACACGAAATAAGAACCAAAACTTTAAAATTCTTAAACGATTTCGCAATAAGCTCCAAGCTCTCATCCGTTATAACCATCCTCTTGAGCCGAACCTCTTCAAGCAATGGCAAACCACACGCCATAGCCGCGATCCACGGACTCACGTAACCTCCCCAACCTTCAGGCACCAAATTGAAGTCCGCAAAGTGCGGTTTGCCTTTCAACGAAATGGATCTCAACTCCGGGAACCGTTTCGTCACCGTGACAGGACTCACGGCATAGCAGTTCCCTACGAAAATCTGCCTTCTGCACCACCGTTCAATCTCGTACCACGACTTACACACTAAAGAGATGGAGTTTCGATCTTTGTCACATTGAACGAACGAAAACACGTACTCGAGAACTTCCTCGGGGAAACGGTTCGTCATTTTCTGCATGTGAAGAAACGAAATGGAACGAGTGTGGTGCAGTTTTGAGAGTTAGATCTGAGACACCATTAACGAGCTTAAAGTGTTTGTGTTAATGTCTGAGAGAGAAAGAGGATAAGAGTAGTTTATGTTGAGTTTGAGTGAGGTTAGAAATTAACTATGGTTAAATAAGTGATGGATTATTGATCATTGATGGTGGTGAGGGTTTATTTTGGAGAAGTGTTATTGGCAATTATTATAATGAGGACACGTGGTTTGAGAAATGAATGATGACCGTTTGATGAGGATGTAAGAATTTGATCTTATCCGTTGAATGAGATCGAAGAGAAGCCGCAGAAAACGGGTGTGTGTGAAAAGACGTGGACTAAAGGGGACGCTATTTTCAGTTTCTCACGAGTTTTTGAAATGAGAAAAAACCGACATGGTTTTATATCTTCTGAATAGTAATGAATAATATTATCTCTCCATTTCTAAAAAAGGAAAAATGAGGATTTCTTTTCTTTTTTAAGTTAAGAAATTTATAATGATGGATCTCATTTTGGCGTGGAATCCACATTATATGCAAGAAATTATATCTATATAAATATCAATATCAAATCCTTTTAAGTTTTGAATTCATTAATACATATATGTTACACTTTTATTTTCCTTTGTTAACACTTCTCTTGCTTTTCATCAATTTCATAAATTAAAATTACTCACTATACTTTCAATTTCGCGTGGTTGTTCTTTTTACTCCTAATTATGTTTCATTGATTTTGATAGACAAACATATGAGATTGCAAATAAATATTATTTAAACAAAGGAGTTCTCAACATAAATTTTAATAAAAGATTTTTTTTTTCTTCATCCAACTTATTTGTTAAAACAGTTTGAGAGATTATGAACACACAAAATTATTAAAGCAAGATTGATTGAAAATTACCTTTTTCTCTTTAATATTTGATTCACTCCAGAATTCAAATGTTTTTTCAGGAAATGTACTAGTTAGCAGTGCTAAATTATTCTTTTTATCTCTTTATGAATCCTTAACTTTGTCAGCTTTGTCAGGATATACTTTAAAACTATGTGACAGTATCTTTTTGGATTTTTCTGTCTGGTAGTTTTTCTCCTCGCTCTGAAGATTGGGATAATTAGTTGAAATGTGATTATTTCTGAAGCTTCTGAAGTTACTCTTTCCATCAACAGATTTCTCATTCCTTTTAGCCAGCTGATAGAATATTTTGATAAGGAGAATCATTTCCTCATCATCAGACATTCCATAGTAATTTTATTTAACAGGATTGATGGAAGTTGATTTCTTTGAAAGCTCATCTTCATCCAATTTTATTTCATGACTCTAAAGATTGTTAATCAAACTTTTAAGACTCAGCATATTCAAAATTTTGCCTTCTTGAATAGTTGTGACTTTTGGTCTGAATCTAGCAGACAGACTTCTTTGGATTTTCTTAGCATGATTAGATAAAGTGTAACTGTTGTTAAACACTTGAAAACCAGATACAAGAACTTGAAACCAGGAGAACATGGTTCTAATATCTTCGTCGTCCTTCATTTTGAACATTTCATATTGATGTACCAGAAGATTGATTTTAGCTTCTTTGACTTGCTGATTCTCTTCATATGTTAAACACAAGGATTCAAAGATAGCCTTATCAGTAAACTTAACAATGATTTTGATATACTCAGAATGAGGTAGATGATCTACCATAATGCCTCTAACTCTATGATGATTTCTATTATAGCTTCTTCTGAGCTGGTGTGAGAGATTTTCTATTTTTTATCATCCCAAAACCATGAACTTCTATAGCAATATCCTCTTCAAGAATATTTCATAGCTCTTCATTAAGACCAATGGTACATGAGTATGTTTTGCTTTTCCATCATTCAAATTCAGCGGAGTTACCACTGAAGATTTGAGGATTAGCAGAGTAATAAATTTTCATATGGTACTTGATTCCTTCTTGGAAAAAAATCTTCAACGGACATATTTTTCTCTTTGGATTTTTATCTGCACCATTGTTAAGTGTTACGCACAGACCATGCTCAGATGCCAACTAACGGTGAGAAAAATACACAAAAAGGGGGTTTAATTGTGTTCTTCATTTTGTGTTGATTCTTATTAAAGTTCAAATTATAAACAATAGTTCAGATTCTGATAATATGAATGCAGGGGAATAATAGACAGAAGCAAGTAAATGACAAATGAACACACAAAATTTATCTTGGTTCCTCCCAAACCGAGAGTAGTTCAGTCCTCTTGCAGCACAAGATATTTTCCACTATAATAAAAAAAGATTACAATTGCTTATGCCCTCGAGCATAAGACCTTCCACAATTGCTCAGATTCCGCGAATCCAAGACTTATTTTCTTAAACCCTTCGGATTCAAGACTTCCTTGCTTAGAACTACAATCTCTGACTTCCTTGCTCAATCAGCACCTGACTGAGACTCCCTGCTTAAACCCCTCGGATTCAAGACTTCCTACTTATACTCTCAAGTACAAGACTTCCCGCTTAGACTCACAGTCCAAAAATTCCTTGCTTAAATCCCACGGATTCAAGACTTACTGCTTATACCATCAAGTACAAGACTTCATACTTAATCAATAATTTGATCAAGGTTTCAATGCTCAAGCACATAGCAAGGTACTTACTTAGCTCAAGCTCGCAGCAAGAGACTTTGATGCGTAAGCACATAGCAAGAGACTTTCTTTTTAAACTACTACCTTCGTTTCTTTATATAAGAGACATATCAATTTTTAGGTTCATTGAATAACTAATGTATTTGGTCAGTTTGTAGGCTAGATACATTGATTATTTAATGAATCTAAAAAGTGGTTTGTCTCTTATATAAAAGAACGGGGGTAGTACTAAACAACTTGTTTAGCATAATAGAGAATAAGGAGTACCTGATATACAATTAAAGGTACATGGCAATATCCTTAACAAAGACCATAACACTTAAAATTTCTAAGATATACATTATTTAAGAAATCTTAAGGCTTTGTGTAATTTACAACAGATAACAGAGACTTTGCATACTCGATGTTGTTGTTTATTGTTGATCTTGTTATTCTTCCATATTGATGTAAGCGTGAAAACTCTTTTTTTTTCTGCTCGGCCCTTTTTCTTTATTCCTTATTGATTCTTCAGATTGAATTTTCAACTACTTAAATAGCATATACAAAAGAGTAACCGTTGGAAGAGAAAACTTGCACAAGTGTCTTTTTCACTCCATAGTACTAAGAGATGTTGAAGATAGATACACAAAAAGATCTTTATCCATTGTGTAACTTATTTAACTGTATCGACTTCCTTGTGAGTTGTACTATAGATCCGTTGAGAGTGGATATCTATAAAGCATGTCAAATCTCCTTGAGCCATGTGAACACAGTCTCTAGCTGACAAACTGATTTGACAATGTAACTTGCTTTATGCAGTACAAATCACTTAGTTTTGTCTATGGTTCTGAATGATTATCAGAAGCTGATACATTCAATGAGTGTATATATAACATGTTGCTCTTCTGATGCTAATACATTCAGCTTCAGAATCTACGTAATCATATATCTTCATACTTCACTAAAGAACGTCCTTCAGTTCTAAACCATCAGAAGCCAAAAATTCAACTTCTCTCAAATGTGTTCTCTTAACAGATTCTGAATAGATTCTCTTTAAGCTTTGAAACCTGCATACTTAGAACACACATTAGATAATACCACTGTTCTTTCAATACTTTGTTATCATCAAAACCTAAAGGATATATTTCACACAAAAATCTTGTTTTAACAGTATGAAATCTTACAAATATTTGTCAAATAAGAAGGAACAATGCATGTTCTAATGAGAAATCATTCAAGAGTGCACGTAAGCAAAGCAAGGACAAATGCCTAAGCACTATAAGTATTGGTGTCATCTCTCTCCTTACTCATGCATTTAATTTTTGTAGGGTTTTCATACTTAGGTATTTCAATTCGGTCATAGATTATCGTTTATTCAACTAATAGCGGTTTATTGCATAAGGTTAGGTTTTGTTAGAATTGGTGCCTAATCTAGTTGCACTGTTGATTAAAATCTGAGAAATAATTGAAGTTAGAATTCATTGTTATTGAATCATTGTATTATCACATCTTCTGAAATATACAATTGAAGCAATCGCATACCTTTATGTATCATCACGAAAACCATCCTTAATATTTCTATATTGATTTTGTGTTAACGTGATCAAGTTTCGAAAAGTATAATTTTCATATTTTCACTTCAAACTTTCCGCGCACACTTTTGAAAAATATTTTATATTTAGTTTTGAAAAAGCGGTTGAATTTTTCAATAATGGTCTATTCACCCCCTCTAGACCATTTTTCTACTTCCATATTCTCATCCAACAACATGATAATTTTGATCCTACTCGTGGCGCAGCTAATGGAACCATCTCACACACTCTTAGAGATTTCCCTAAGACCATGCAAGTTGAACATTTTCAATTTTCCATCTCACGTTCATTTTTATGATGATGATGATATATATAATTGGATGAAAATTAACGTGATTGCTAATCATGGCCCTTTGTTTCTCATTTATTGTTGGATCATTTGACAATCTAGTAACTAAGAATCCTTCAAAGACAACAATCACTCTCTCTGAAATATTCTTATCCAAATAACGACTCTTTTACACTCTACGGGAAAGCTTTTGGTGGTTCTAATAAGATATCAACCCCTAAACTTGAGTCTTGGCACACTCTCTGGGTCATTCGGCTTTGGTGGTCTTTTAAGAAACTCCTCTGGAGGTTGGATCGCATATTTTGCAGGAAGTTATTGTTTCACCTCTAATACTAATGATGAGCTTCAAGTCATTTCTCATGATCTTTATATTGCTTGAAATCATGGAATTATATTGCTCTGCAGTACATTGGACCATAACAACTCATGTCCCAACATTTAGAATCCTATAGTGGCCAAATTAATGAAGTTCTATATATTCTTAAGTTCTCTTAGAATTAAATTCAA